AGTCAATTTGATTATATATAAATAGCACGAATATTCTCTATCTGCCGTTACCAACAAATTACAAATATTTGCAAAAATACTTCTTTTTAAATTTTTTGCAAAACCTTGTTTCGTTATTGAAAATGGAGAATTACTATGATTATTTTACGGATGAAGATTTTAATGAAAGTTTCAGTATTGACCAAGACGAACCATTATTCATTCATGATTATTTGGCTGCTATGAAGGCAAAACATTGGTTAGAAGAACAAGATTCTTCAGAAATAATAGAATATGATGATGATAGTGAAAATTCATTATCTGAAGATGAGCATATGGATCGCCAATTTTTAAATATAGAAGAAAATCAACGATCACCTTGTGTTATTATCGATAATTTAAAAGGAGAAATTAGGTGCTATAATTCAATTAATAATCTAAGATCAGTATCTCAATTAGTTGGAACTTGGGAAATAGAATTAACACAGAAAGAAAATTCTAACATAACTATCTTAGACGTCTGTTCTAGCCATTTTAATTTTGATCAAAATAAGCTTCACTCGTCTCATGCCAAACAAATTAGAGACCCTAGTCAGAGTGTAATTAAAATAAAAAAATGTTTACTCTGTAATAAATATAAAAACTTCTTTAGTAGAGGTAATGATTGTGGAGAACATAATTGGAGTATATGCGGAAAAAATATTCAAGTACCATGTGTCAGTTTAAAATCGTGTCTCACTTTTAAAGAAATTACAAACATCTCTTCAAGAATTGCTAATGGCTATCGTATCCGATATATCTGTGCAAAGTGTTTTGAAAGCAATAGCGGACATATTCATAAGCATGAAGGAAAAAAGTCTCAAACATGTGTTAAAAACGACTTGTATAAAGATGATATTAACCAAGTTTTAAAATTATTCTCACGGTGGTTGTCAAATCTTTCATATTCTGAAAATGAAAATCAAAAAAAAGTAGTGTTGCATATGATGAAATTATTAGAAAATCAAAATGCAAATGAGTTATCTTCTACAAATACAACAAATTGTTTACCTAGTCCGCTACTTGTAAAAACCGCTATGAAGATTAATGCATTCGATTATTATTTATCTACAGATAAAAAATATGTAAAAGC